TTAGCCAAGAGTAAAACAGTGAATTACATTACCAGCAGAACCTAGAACTGTTGTCTTGACCTATTATTTAGTTTATATTTGCAGGGCATCATTTAATTAGTTATTCAAAGATACTAAAACATAATACATACAAAGATCAAGCTCTAAAAGAATTATATGCATATTAGAAAATTATCTGTTGTTATACACCACCCTTATCCCTATAAAACTAGTTTGACATAGTGTTTTCCCCCAGTGTGTCTTCAGCATTCTCTAAGGGTTGTTAATAACTGCATAGGAAGTGAGGTTTCCACAGAAGTGCTTCCTCCCATTGGATTCATTCCATTTGGAAGGGATGATGCTACTCAGTAGTGACTAGCTTTTACATACTTTACTGTTCTTCCAAAGTAGTACCTCCAGCCTTCCTTCCGACCATCTCCCTATGAGTGAGAAGACTCAGAAAGTGTTTTGAGAGCATTAGCTGACTTTCATTCAGCTGTGTCTCCAGTCAATTCTATGGTCATCCCCTTAAATCCAATTGTCAGGTTGTGGGGCAAATCTTAAAAGGCCAGAAGTACCTCAATCAGCAAACATTCCTTATGCACTCTTCTCCCTCCTCAGGACACATTGGAGGGAGTGTAACCTGCAAAATCACATTTCTGGGAGAGAATATCTTGCTTTTGTTAATGAAAAAAGGAAGAGTCATCTTATTAACACTAATAATTAAATCAGATGGTGAAAACTCACTCCTATACCCACCTGTTGTAATTTGTTGTTTACAGAAACAAAACAGGATAAAATTATATAATGCTGATTGAAAATACCAAATCGTTGTCCTGTCTTAAAGGCCTAAACTTGATTTATTTAAAATTGGGTTTTTCATATTAGTGGCCAAAATTATGTCTTATACTCAACAAAGTTGCATATATACTTCATGAAAGACTTAAAATTTATAAAATATGAAGTGGTGTGTCAAACTCATACATGGTATTTTTTTTCTTTTTTTGGTTTTTCGAGACAGGGTTTCTCTGTGTAGTTTTGCTGCGTTTCCTGGATCTAGCAAGGTAGACCAGGCTGGCCTCGAACTCAAAGAGATTAGAATAAAGTTACTATTACTCATAGTAACTTTAATCCCTAGTGCTGGGATTAAAGGCATGTGCCACCACGGCATGGTATTTTTCAAATAAAAAATTAATTTATCTTTAGAAGAAAATTAATTTATCTATGCAGTGACTCATTCATTAACCTTTTCAAAGGGTCTGCATTTTTAAACAATAAAATATATTTGAAATTCATATGACTTACTAAATAAATAAAAATGAGCCTAAAACCTGGGAATTAAAATTAGAGTTTGAATGTGTGTGTGTATGTGTATTTGTGTGTGTGTGTATTTGTGTGTATGTGTTTATTTATGAATGTGCATTGTTGACTATCTACAGGGACTAGAAAGTGGGTCAAATGTCCTGGAACTAGAGTTATATGCTGTTGTGAAGAACCCCATGTGAGTTCTGGGAATTGAGCTCAGGTCCTTCGCAAGAGCATCAAACACTATTAACTCCTGAGCAATAGCTCCAGACCCAAGTCTGGAGTTTCAACATTCTAGTTTGTTTTGTTTGGAGGCAATGAAGGGATATGCATCACTTCTAAGTATTTAGAACAAAATGCATAGAATTGTTTAATAATTTGGCTCTTTTATTTTACTGCATATGACTCATGAATCTGTTGAGTTAGTGGAGTAATAATACTGTTATTTTATATAGTCATAACAAATTCCTTTGTCTTAATAGAACTGTTTTTTTTTTTCTCAAAAGGCAGCAAGTTAAGAATGTGATAAATCACTTTTCCAGGAACTGTTTCATTCTTGTGTTTCATTTGGTGTCATCCATTCCTGTGCTAATAGGAAAAGGCTGTCTCTGAAGCTGCCTGTGAACTCCAAGTGTTTTGCTCCTGATTTATGTGGGTTTACACACTTCATCATTCCATACACATTCCTTGTTTAATTCATCATCTTATTGAATACCGCGCACATAACAATTTGTTGTGCCATTTCATATGAAAATGCTATTTCCAACAAAGCACTCTTTTTGAAATTGTCTTCCTCTGGGATATTAAATTTTTAGCTAGGCAAATAGATAAAGTGAATAAATGAAGCAATTAAACAGATTTTATGTGAAACTTACTCAAAACTGAGTGGAAATACCTTATAGAAAATTTTGAAGGTGGGGCCCCATATCTCTGCTTAGAATTATTTCTGCTGAAGTTTTGAAAACTAGGTATTGTCAGCTGTAGAAACTAGGAGAAATGTCTTAGTTAGAAGGACAATGAAATCCTTTAGTTTGGGGGGGGGGTGGGAGATCCAAGACTGTCCTTGCTACAGAAATGTAAAGGATCAATTTGGAGACAAGGAACCAAAGGCAGTAAGCTGCCGGGAGAATCATTCCTTTAAATGTGTGGCCACTAGCACATTGTCTATGTTCCAATGGGTGACTGCATATGCATAAACTCATGGGAGAAGCACACAGTAACTTAGAGTGTTACCAAAAATAAAGCAAAATGAGAAGAGAAGAGAGGGGTGGGGGAGGGAGGGAGGGGAGAGGAGAGGGGAGGAGAGGGGAGGGGAGGGGAGGAGAGGAGAGAAGAGGAGAGTGGGCTATTTGGGAGGAAATTTAAGGAGTGTCAGGGAGTGTGTATGATCATTTTTAGTTACATACATAATAGAATTCAAAAATAAGCAAAATAATATTCATGGTAACTTGTAAAAAGGTTAAATGTGTGAAAAATACGTTGGAAGTTCAATGTAATTTTTATCTTGAAAAAAAAATGAGTACCACAATATGAAATAACATATTAAAAACTTAATCTAGAGCTGAGAAAATGGCTCGAGGGTGAATGCCCCACATTACAGGCATGAGGACTTGTATTTGGGTTTCCAGCATCCATGCAAATGTCCAAAGTGGTGTACCCTGTACCTGTTACTCCAGTACTGAGCTGTGCATGGGGGTTGAGTAGGCAGAATCACATGGATCCCTAGAGCACAAGGGCCAACCAACTTAGGCAAAAATATGTGTTCTAGATTCAATGAGAGACTCTATTTCAATGAATATTGTGGGAGAAATCAAGTGAGACACCCTGTGTCAGCCTCTGGCCTTCA